TTTTTTTTTTTTTATTATTACTGAGAACAGACATTGTGTTGCACTAAAGAGAGAAAGATCCATTGATCCCTTAAAGGAGAAACATCTGTTTGAATTTGCAACATAACCATTGGTTTTGTATTGAAACTAAAAATCTACTTTCAAGTGATCATTTTTTTAAAAATTTTTTACATTTTGCCAAATGTCAACTTTAAAGAGTTCATTTTTAGGAAGACAAATGTAAGTCATTAAATGTTCATAAGCGCTGTGTTTGGATATTTGTTTATTTCAGTTGTATGTTCATCATAGACCTAATTTGTTGGGGTTAAATATTTTTTTTTAAAGTCAACTACCAAACAAAAATACTGACATATGAATTTGTTACCAGTCACGTAACTGCCATTTTATATTGTTTTCCATAGGTTTTTCCATTGATGTTTCACAACTTTATAAATTCAATTCAGTTCACCAAATGACTTTAAAGGATTTATCTAGTGAGGGCATGATCTTAAATGCCAGATTGGGCTTTATATTTCCACTTTAAAAGAACATAAAAGCATATATTTCACAGCATAAGTTCAAAAGCTTCTCTAGAGTGAAGGGTGGTTATAAGATTAACTGTTTTTCATTTCCATTTGACTAACTTTGAATGCAAACCACTAAGATGGTAAGCAAAGCGGTTTTTTTTTTGTTTTGTTTTTGTTTTTATATCTCAGCTTATCGGTACAGAATGACCTACTTTATGCTCTCAAACTATGATGTTAGGAAATAAAGGTGAAATGGCATCTGCTCAACTGGGATTTTGTTTTTAGGATGACATTTAGTGGTTCTAGGATCTGGGATAAAAGATAGACTCACAGGTGTATAGAATGTGGAGCTGAGTGAGAAAGACAGTCTGAGTCCCCAAGAGCTTATTAAGAAACAGACAAAATGAGCAGTGGGAAAATTCTGGATGTTACACTGTTCTGATATATCCTGATGACAAATAAAAGGAGAGGCAAAGTCATAGTTGGGGTGAAGTTTAAAAGGGTGCCCTCAGCCTGCGTGCTTGTGAGGACTTCTGGGTGATGCTGACGTTCCTCTTTCCTTCTAGCAGCTTTTGCCAGCTTCACTATAGCAACGCACTTTACCATCACCATTGTCTTGCTTGTTCTGTTCATTAGCATTAGTGATTGAAAAAAAAAATCCATGGGCTCAGGATGTAAAAACACATATTATTATTGCCCTCTGTCCTTCTGATTGCTGGCTTAGGGGAGGGTCCTAAGCAGGGAGTGCAACATGTCCAGGCAGCATGGCCTGTTCCTAGTTGGAGGGTACTTCACAATAGAGTGGTCATTGCTGTATAGCTGTTCCAGGGCACCATTACAGTCACCTCAGAGCAATGCTGGGGGACACATCTGCAAAGGTGAACACTATTTTTAGAAAAAGTTTTCAAGGCAACATTTTCATTGGCTATTTTGGGCATCTTCTGTTAACCTTGGCATTTACTGGCATTTGAAATTGATCATTGTGTGTGTGTGTGTGTGTGTGTGTGTGTGTGTGTGTGTGTGTGTACAGCATTCCCTGGCTCTATAGGATGTCTGACTTTGAGAACTGAGGATCGTATCTCCTCCATATATCAATACTTCAGTTTCCAAAGCAAGGTATATGGAAAAAGAACTTTGATCACCATCTCAAAAAGCATAATACTTGGGATTTGGCGATGGCACATTTTACAAGGTGCAGAGGACTTTCAAGTTTAGTTCCTGTTGAACTCTTTCACATGAGATTTGCTTATGCGCTCTGACTGTGTCTGCCTTGTAGATCTTCTGCAACTTTCCAGCTTGGGTTATTTTTCCAAGCTTCCTTTGTAATTATGGAGGGAGAAAGTTACCTGACATTAATCAAATCTGGACAGTGGACAGTGACAAAGAACTACCATGAAAAGATATTTCTCTTATAAATTCCTGGAGAGAGAACAAAAATTGATTAGGAAAAATTCACTGAGTTTTGTTGAAAGATGAAAAATATTGAAAACAAGAACATGACATAAAAAATAATTTTTATAAACATGGTTTATCTAGGATATCAAATGTTTAAGGTAACAGAATGATAAAAAAAAAACTATTTTAAAATCAGTACCAAAGAAATTTAGAAGATGGCTGTTCTACTGTGAGGGATAAAACCTTTGAAATAACTGTATAGACTATAATGGTTACATATAGGCTTCAATTTCAAAAAATAAATTCTAACTGGAAACATTTCCAGAGTAGCATAATGTTTTCATTATGGCCCAAGGCTGTAGCTCAGTAGTAGAGCACTTGCTGAGTATACATTAGGCCCTAGACTTCAGTAAGAAACAATCAGATAATACTTCTAACTGCACTTTCTTTCCAGTGTTATTTTCACTGGTCCTTATTATCTCTCCAATGATCTTAAAGAAAAATTTCATAAAATTTTCAAAGACTTTTCCTTTATTCTTGAGGATTTCACGATCATATTTTTATACCTCAGATTTTTATTTGCTATGATGATTTCTAGATCTTTTTTTTCTGTTTTGCTTATCCAAATTTCAGGAACCAAATATCATGAAGTCACTTTATTAACTCTTCCTGAAATATTTTAGCTGCATCAGTTGAGCTCTTGCTTTTCTTGTATATAAAGTATAGGAAATGGATAAAGAATAATTTTACATGATTTGAAATACTGATAAAGTTAAATTAATAATCTTCTGACTCTCTTTAAAAACTTATCTTTATGGATAATTAGAAGACATCCATGCACACAGTGTTTTTACATGGAAACCTTAAAAGGATACAGGAGCAAAGAAAAGTAAGATTGTGCTTTAAAGCTGTGACTTTTTGAAATTCAGAACCGACAGACCATTGTCAGGAATTCAGCATTCTTAAACTTACCTTGCAATCACAAAGAGTACACAACTGACTCCTAAGCAGGCCAACAGCACATACATCCAAATGTCTGGAGACAAGGGGTTGAGGAAGGAGAAGACGCCTGGGTTGGTTCCATTGGGTTTCCGGTAGAGGATGCTGATGCCCAGGGTCATGAAGGGCTTGGAGAAGTCTATGACTTTCTCCCGTACATAAGTGATGGTAAGAGGAGCCACTGCCAGGTCAGCCCTCTGCAGAAGCAAGTACAAAGTTGTCAGATGACAACTTCTCTGCAAATGTTCCTGATTACCTCTGTTCCCTCTCTTAACTGCAAATGCTTCCCACGCAAAGAGCACCTGTGATAATTGACTTTACCATAACAAGAGCCAATTTTCAGTTGTGTTACTGTATTTATCATCAAAGAGACACCAGAAGGTACATATGAATTGATGGGCGCGAGGGAAAGCAAACACACACACACACACACACACACACACACACACACACACACACACATTCAGGGGTTGCAGGGAAGATCATTATTCTTGAATTAAATGGAGGAAAAATGACAAGAGGACATCTTTACAAAAGGCATGTGAAAGAAGGAAGGAATGAGCCACTTGGTCATAATATCAGTTCACAAGATGAGCTTTTGCTCTTGTGCCCTAGATCTTAGAATTCTTGGTCTTATTTAGAAATCATCCAGGCTTAGTCTTGGTATAGGGAGTGGATATATAGATTTTTATCTTCAGCTTTTATCCCCACTTGCCTTCTAAATGGAGAAAACTTCCTATCTAGGTGATTTTTATCTTCCGGCTTAAAAAAAATCATTTTTGTGACCAACAAAACAAAACAAAGTCATTTCCTCTGACACGGATTCAACTGCTTTATTCCTCTCACTTCCTCACATTGAGCATTTTTCAGATGAACCCGGTGCATTTTTGCTTACGTGGTCAATGAGCTCTTTCACCATCCCGTTCCACTCTCCTTTGTCATTCTGGGCACCATATTTACCATCAGGAACTAGTTTGACATCATAAAGGAAACCCAGGATATTTGACAATTCTTTCAGCAGATCCAGGCAATATCCTTCAAATCTGTCATTTCCATAGAGAGGCTTATCAGACTTTCTGTACATCACATAGGGTTCTTCCTAAGTAAAACACACCAGGTATGAAAGCTCTGTTATCATGAAAAGATTGCCCAGTCAGTAGTCTCAAGATTATAATATTTGAAGTTGATTTTTAAGGGAGACAGTGCTGAAGTCAGCTGTTTACATTCCCATTGTTAGAACAGCAAAAAGGCACATAAGGGTCCCGACTTTAAAATGTCTAGTTTGCCTTCTGAAGACTCACCTTTCCAGTTTCACTGGTTTATCACCTGCTCATAGGACCACCCTTAGGAAGGCAGGTTCATCCTAAGTCATGCTAAATAGATAGGCAGAATGCCTACATTAATGAAATAGTGGACTTTTCCTGCCTGGAATCTTGCTTTCTAGCACAAACATGTAAGTCTGTAAGTCTGCCAGATTTTCTGAATTCTTCAGAAAAGTGTAAGATCTCCTTTTCTTCGTCATATCCCTTTTCTAAATGTGCTTTCTTTAACACTTTGGGCTTCCCCAGCACCCTGTATTTCTTTATTTTTTTCTCTAAAGCTTCCTTCTCCCTGTCATGTGGCTGCCAGTCCTCCACATGTCTGACCTCCATGCAAACTCTAAATCTGCGTGGCTTTCAGGGTTATTTTCCTTCTCCCCTACATTCTCTGCCTCAACACAGCTGCCCTGAGGACTTTTCTTTAAATTTTAATTAAATTTTCCTAAAGCTTCTGTTTGGGTCCATTCTTAAATTCTTTTATGAATGAGACCAAGAACCCTCTAGCTGACAATATTCTCTGCTGTATCACCATTTCATCTAAGCTTGTTCTTAATGGTTATAGAACCCTTTATATATGATATTTTCTTTCCTTCCTGCCTCTTTAGATGGGAGCTCTATCTTCCACTGCTATAAGGGTGGAATTTTAGTGAACGATGTGACAGAGATACAGTTATATAAAAATTGGATCTGAAAAGATGGAAAGGCTCAGGGGGACATTAGGGGCCCAGATGCTTCCTCCAGGCATGCCTTCACCCAAACTTCCATCACAGGACCCCACTTTCCTTAGGTTTTGACCTAAGACCCACTTCTAGTTACAGAGCTCACCAAATACATCTTCCATTGTTGAAACTTCCTGTGCACTGCACGTTCTCGTTTCTTCATCCTGATTCCACCGCCACTTTCCCTATATATTGATTCACTGTTTTGTTCATCACGCAGCCTTTTTCACCAGTCCTGTAGTCTTATTTGAAATCATCTTGCATCTCAGATCTGATAATGCTTTGCTTATATGCTTAGAGGATAAATCCCTTATCTTGAGTAATGACCATCGTCTTCCTAACATGCATCTATGAACTTATTCTCACTTAACTCAATGAAAGCTCATTTTGTTTTCCAAATTTGTAATAATTGCTCTATTGATGGGCTGCCCTGTATGTTTAGGTTTATCATCAAGTAAAGTGACAGTTGGGTCATGCAAATAGAGTAGAAAATTCTTTCCATAAGGTGGTTCCTTAGAAAACAAAAATGACCGGAAGAGAAAACAACACAGCTAAATCAGTTCTTGCTTTAGAGAAACGGTTCTCACCAGTTAGCTATTTCAAAGCTAAAAGGCTCTAATACTATGGACTGAAAGAAATAAGGCAAGGCACACTTGTAAATGAAAGGTTCAGAGTGAATTCCGCCTACCCGGTGTCTTTGGGAAAGGAGAGAGTGAAAAAACCCTAGCTGGCACATGTAGAGTGGCTATATGGGCATAAGAGTGATTTCAACAAGACACAGGTCTTTTGAAGATCAGTTAATACAAGGTGATTTCCAGACAGAGGGAGCCAAGGGAAGATGGAGCGATACTGGAGGCACAATGTGACACTCAGAGACAAAAGGAAGCTAGGGTGATCTATGGTAGAGACCTCTGTGGGAATGCTGTTCTAACCTAGTGAAGCTGGGTGTAGGGTAACTGACGAGGAAGGAAATATGGTTGTGGAAGCTCAGAGGGTCTGACAAAACCATTGGTTAACAGTAGGAGAGGTTGTAGAAGAATCTCTCTTGCCTTCGGCCTTTTGCTAGAGACTCCTCTTGGTTGAAATCAACCAGCTGTCCAACAGGTAGAGAACAAGGAAGATCCTCTAGATGGGGAGAGAGAGGGGGAGGAGCAGGGCTGGGAATTCACTGAGATGAGGGCTCAAGATACATTTTGGAAGCTTGTAATTCAATCCTTTGAATATGAAAAAATGTATGCTTTTAGTTTCTGAGTTTTTTTTTTTAAAAAAAGACATATTCAGAACTGCCAGCATGAAAACGACTGTGGAGGGATCCTTTCAGGTCTACAGTAGGAGTTAAACATGACAAGAGGTCAGAGCTTCACAGATACTCACCAGAATAGTGGTGACAATGAGTGTTCGATTGGCCAGTGAATCAGTGATATTGTTGGACCTGTCTCTGTTGCCGTCTGTCATGTTCAGCCCACTGTTGGAGTTCCAAATCCCGATCTGCACATAACACAGGACATCAGGGGCTGCTGGTTGTTCGCAGCAGCACTTACACTAAACAGAGGGCCCTCTATACCAGGAATGGGCGCAGAAGTTTACAGTCTGGGCCACCAAGGCATCTCAGTGGGAACTACTCACTATGGGGAAATGTACAATGAAAGACCAAGGGTGTATGTAGATAGAATCAGAGACATTTGGGCTATTTGAGGCAGGATACAAAAGACTTATTTTTAATTATTAATTTCATTGCTTTTCTTTAAATTAAAACAGTTAAGGCTTCTTAAGTGACCATCATATTTCCCTTCCATCTTTTTCTGTTAAGCACATGATTCTATGCCAAGCATAATCTAGGCACTGGAGGGTATAACAGGATAGTAACAAGCATTTTTATCCCTGCTGTGTTCTGCTGATGGGAAACGTTATTCTTCCAAGGTGTTCTCACTAGTTCCTTTAAAATGTGTGACTGTGGAGATGGCAGGAATGAGATGGGTGGTGGAAGGGAAAGACAGGTGGGAGGAAATGTGTAGAAAAGAAGTAAACAGAAATTTGGACCCATCCTCACTGAGGAGCCAGTGATGAGCAGGGGTCCTTCTTAGGCACCTCTTAGGACTCAGTGCACACCTGTCCTAAGCACCTAGCATCTTCTGCTGTTATCACTTGCCTACCTGTCTTCTATGTCCACTTGACCGTGAACTCTTCCATTAAGGATGCTCCCTTTTACTGTTCCCTGATCTTTTCTATGAGGGAGCCAACTGTGCTGATAGGCATTTAATAGAGCCCCCGACCCTTTCAACAGTGCTGCTCTTTAATTTCTCCAGTACTGTAGTCACTACTGATGTGTTAAGTCCCATAAGATACATCACTAACCCCCAGATTCAAAATTCTCCAGGATCAATGGACCTCATGTGCTATGTCAAAGTCAAAACTTTGCATGTGATTTGTGTGTAAGGCATATATAAAATTACATGTAGATATATGTGACATGAAAGCAGAGAGAGGATTATTTTTGGAGAGAAGATAAACCAGTGATGTGACAAAATAAGGCAATGGGGGCTGTAAACAAGCATTTTTATACATGTCTGAATATACATTTTGTATGCTAACTCAAAAAAATTAATATAGAATAAAATTAAATTTTATAAAATAAGGTAATGGGGGGTGGAAACAAGCATTTTTGTATATGCA